TATATATGTTGTCGGGTGGTGCAGGGAATGGGTTAGTTTTTTATTGGAGATGATCGTTATTTGTGAGATATCACCAACTTGCCAAACGCAATTATCTAGGAGTGCAGAATGTAGAGTTGAGACTTGTTTCCAGGCGCTCAAGCTTTGCTAAAATAGGTGTGCTTCACTTGAGTGTAGGTGGGACTGAGGGATCGAGATTTCAGTACAATAGTAGTTTAGGCCCGGGGGACTTTCGGTTGGGTCATCATTAACACTCGGATTGATGCTTGGGACATCTTGAATGGGGACTACTCTGCATGTTAGAGTAGTTTAGGCCCGGGGGACTTCTTGAATGGTTGTGTGGATAAGTGGTGCAAGCTGCTAATAGCTCTGCTTCAGTTTTACCATTGCTACATCGTTAATGTCTTTAGATGCAAGTCTGGCATATCCAAGTACAGTTTGATGGAAGAATTGTTTTGATGTGACGAGCAAAGGGTTTGTGCTTGCCTTCCATGGTTGCGGGTAATAGTGTTCGCAGGTTCCGTTTACTTGTGCCTAGGGAACTTTGTTTTCCCTACCCGTTGATTTTCTATCTAGGAGGCTATGTGTTCATTTGGATGGATCGTGTGATGCTCTAGTGAGGTTTCCTCAACAATACTTTCATGGCGCACTCTTTTTCCTCCACTTAGGTTTAGAGATGTTTTTAACGAGACTCATCCTTTGTATCTCATATTGTAAGTATACTTTTGAATACAATACAAAACACCCATTCCAAAAAAAAAATTAAACTTGATATCAATCTTCAAATTGGGGAAAGTCTAAAAAATAACTTAATTTAAGACTAAAAACGAAGAAAATGGGCACCACAAAAAATGCGATAAAAACGTGACATTTTAGGTTGGATGCAGCCTACAATGTTACATTCTCTATAATATTTTCGGTTGCAACCTAAAACGTTACAAAGAATATCACATTTTAAATTGTGCTCAACCTGTAATTTATTTTTCATATTTTCAATCACATCCATTTTCATATATTATAATCTTAAATTAGTAGGTTGTATCAGAACTAACTCAATTTGGTAACAGTAACCATTGTAATGAGAGCATCATTAGAATGAATTGGATATATAAGGACAATAGACAAGAAGAATCACTATGACGAGAGCCCATCGAATGAAATGAATATCAATGTCATGTTTTATTAAATATGAAAATGTAGGCAAAATACATCATTTTCACGTTCACAATTGTTCTACCATTTTCATTTTTTTTTAAGATTTTCGTATATTAAAAGTTTTCGAAAATATTTCTCCTTCGATTATAATTTTGAATATTTTCATAAGATAAGTCTTTTGACTAATCATAAACCTTTGATAAAAATCTTATTAAAAAATCTATCAAAATCAAATTTATTAACTGCTAAAAATATTTAAAAATTTAAAAATAATTATTAAATTTGACAAGTGTTTGTATAATCAAGTAATGATTGAAATTAGAGAATTGTAAGAAAGAATAATAGCCAGTAAACCAAGAAAACACATGGTGAAATTATTATCTCAAATCATCACAATAATTCATAGCAGAATCTGAATCAAAGACGGTCCACTTGTACAAATATACTGATTGCTTCCCTTCAATTGGCCCACTTTGACATCTCTAATTTAATTTTATATCAAACAATGGAAGAAATCTCAGAATTATTTACCAACAGCAATAATTCAAAAACCAATCCCTCGGATTGTCCGATAAAAGGTTTTGAATACATAAATCATCCACACATTGCTAATACAGAATCAATGGTATGAAACAAATATGAACATTGACCCGCTGAGTATAAGGAATCAAGAATCAATCTTTTATACCTATGCGTATGTATTATAATTATAATTAGACTGGAGGGTCACTTTTGTCTCCGTAATTAGTCCAATTTATCATTTTCGTCCATATGGTATTTTCGCATTAATTTAACCATCGAAGTTGCTCAATCGCATCAATGTTTAAAATATTTACTATTGTTTAGAGTTTTTAGTTAGGATTTAGGGGTAGTGTTTAGGGTTTAAGGGTTGTGGGTTAGTATTTAGTGTTTAGAATTTAAGGTATAAGATGGTACAATTAAATAATTTTGAGGGTAACTTGATGCAAAAATATCATATGGACGAAAATAATAAATTGAGCCTACTACAAGGACAAAAATTCTCCTTGAACTCTATAGTTATATAGTACGATATTTTTAATATAAGTCGAATGTTAAGAAATGTTTTTAAGATAGATAATAAAACATTTTAGATATAAAACTAGAAATATATTAGTGTACCAAAGTTTTACGTAACCTTAAAGTTTTTTACTTCTTTTCTTTTTAGTGTAGACATTACAGCGGAATGGGACTATAGCAGCGTTTTTCAAGTTTTATAGCGATGTTTTTAAGCACCGTAAAAAAGATTCCCGACAGAAACAAAAGCATCGCTAAATTAATGTTGCAAACATTAGCAGAAAAATGTTGTATTAGGTTTGTACTTTTAGCGGCGTTCATTTTATAAACGCCGCAATAGGTGTGGACATTTAATGGCATTTTTTGTATAAACGTTGCAATAAGTGTGGACATTCAGTGGATTTTTTTGTATAAACGTTGCAAAAAATTATGATATTTAGCAACGTTTTTTACATAAACGTCGCAACATGTTTTTACATTTAGCGGCATTTTTGTATAAACGCTACAAAAGATTATGATATTTAGTGGCGTTTTTTATATAAACGCCGCAAATGTGTACTCCTTATTTTCATCCTTAAAAGCCGCTAATCGAGATTGATTTACAAATATTCATTTTATATTCTTTATTGCCCAAATTTAACATATCATGTAACAGTTAATATCCAATATCAACCTTGATATGTCTCAAATTAAATACTTAACAACATAAATAAATAAAGTTTACAAACCATTCAATTAATGTAGTTCAACATTAAGTCAAATGTAATATAGTTTAACATTAAGTCAAATGAATGTAGTTCAACAAGTACTAGTGATAAGAGCATGAACCTAAGAAATTCACCTAGGGTGGTGAATTTCGCAATTGAAATTGCTGCATCATCTGCTTCATAGCTTCAAGTTGTTGAAATTCATCATATTTAGTTGATATGATGCTTCTTTCGCTTCAGTTTCGGCTTTCATTTGCGTAAATTTGTCATCCATTGTAGTCAACTGTTATTTCAATCGAATAACTTATGATTGAGACGATTGGCTCTGTGATGGCATGTACTGAGACGAACTGAAACCAAAATATTTGGATGGGATAACGAATGATCCCTAGTAGTGAACTTGACCATATCTTTCAAGACCAAAAACTTAGACAATAACTTGATTTTCAATCTAATCCACATTGATGGAACCATGAGATAAATTCATCGGTTCATACTCCATCCTTTTATCATTCAATTTTTCCTAAGAATTAATTAAGAATTTAGAATAAATTCAAACGTTAATCCAAATATAAGTATAATATAATTTGAATTTTATGTGCAATAAATATACCATTATTTCTGCAACTTTAAGAGCCATAGGATACCATCCTTTTTTTCTATGTGTCAGTTTCAAGAGTTGTATTCGTCCAACTCGATTGTCGGACGTAATTTCCTACAATGGAGAACATAAATTAGTACTTAAGAAAAATTAATAAATAATAAGAAAAATGTTCATTACTATGTGAATAATCATAATTAAGAAAAGAATACCTCATCATGAGCTACACGAGCAAAGCTTTTCGATCCAGTTGTATGAGTAAACTTTTTATGTTGTCTGCTAGCAATACCAATGTGCTCTAGATCCTACAATTTGAAATTTAAACGAGTTATAAAGTGAAAATTATAGTGACATAATAATATTTTTTAAAGTTCACATCATTCATCTCTTTTCTTTGAACTCTAAAACCTGACTGCATCTTCCCACTGATACATGAGCATTCCAAGTGGAACATTTTGCAGCTTTTGTTCTAGACTAAGATCATTATTAAAGTATTTCTTTTTCAAGGAACTCTTGTGGTCTCTCAATTTCTTTCCTAACGCTTGCTTCAAATAATCGTCTGAGACTTCTAGAAAAAATTTATCCTTCAAACAACACAATTGTTAAAAGTAAATATAAATTAGTAATGAACTGTAATGAATTATATATTATAATGAAATTATTATCTTAATACAATCAGCAACCTAATTTTTGTTACTATTCAACCTCTCATGCCATGATTGAAAATTGATCGGTAGAAGATTACCTTAATATTTCTTATTTTTAATAAAATTAGTCGATCCTATAAAAGTATAAAAATATAAATAATTGTTTTATTATTATTTTAACTTTATAATGATCAATTATTCAAATAAAATATGAATGAGTCAAATTATCCCAAAGACGTGGTTGGTTAGCAAAGAGCCAATAATTTATTAGTTTAGTAGCGATTGAGCCACGTGTATTTATGTTAGGCGATTGTGTTCCAAATTTTTGGGTTAAATTATGCATTAAAAAAGCTGTTTAATAGCAATTGAGCCACCTCGTCGTTGCTGACTCACCACTCATCATTAGGTGGTGGAAAGTAAATTACCAAACCAATTACTTCATTTTATTTTTTATTTTTGGGTACAATTTTAATAGACATTTTGAATTAAACATATTTGGACCCGACCTGAAGCCGAAATTTTAAAAAATCAGATTTAATCGGGTCGGGTCGAAACTCGTTGGGCTTGAGTCTCATGCTCATCTCTAGTTAAGTTCATTGTTGTTGATTTTCTTAATAGTTCATAATTTTAATCAACTTAACCACATATAAGATATTATAATAATATCGATCGAGTTAATACTTGAAATATTATTAGAATTACTGATACACGTCATCTATTAATGCTCAATTATTGGCATAAACCCAAATCATCTAGGTTTCCTGTCTGACCACGTATTATTTGATCACCCAAGCATTTGGTATATATAAGTGAGTGCCATGGAGGCCACACATACCATAACCCTCGTGTTTTCTTAATAGAATTGCATTCCAATGGTGGATTCGAACCCACTGCTTCCGGTTTCCAGCTCCAACGAGTCGTCCGATTCGGGTCCTGGTCAGGTGACCTGTCGGAGACCCATCAAGGTCGTGCCTTCCATCTTCGTTGGGATGCTTGCGGTTGGTTTCTTTGCTGCATTTTTTATTAGTATCAATGGTTCGGATGATTATGTTGATGTGCATAGAGACCGAGGTGGTTCGTTGGCTTCGACGTCGTCGGTTGACAACAAGCCTACAGCTTCGCAGCCGGTTTCACGTGGACCGGGTGCCGGTGTATCGGAGAAATCAAACCTGCGTTTAGGAGGGCATTTGCTGGCATATCCATGGAACAACAGCATGTTATCATGGCAAAGAACAGCTTTCCACTTCCAACCTGAAAAGAATTGGATGAATGGTAAGGGAAGATATCTCTTTTTTCTATTAATTTTAGGAGGCTGATTTTCACGTACGATTCATTGGATTTTATTTGTTGCATGGCTGGGCGCTTTTAAATTGGGAATCCGGTTCGTTACGCTACAGATCCTAATGGTAAGCTCTTTGTAAATTAATTTATGTTTCAAACATTACACTTAAATCTCGTGATGTTTTCGTCACGATTCTCAATACGGTTATCGTTATAATTGTTTACTTCATTTATTTGGATTTCGACATGTAATTAAACAGTTAAATGATCACTCTGATATCTTTTATCATAAAATTATTATTTATCTTATTAAATAATGTCTAATAAAATATACAATAACATCTTTTTCAATCTTAAATTTTTTTTCTAATATAAAATTAATATTTTCATCTCTTTTAGACTCGACAAAGATACGAAAATATAAATTAATTTATTAATATATAAGAATCTATAACTATCATATTGAAATAATTTAAAGGGTAAACTATTTATTTAGTTCTTTTTAACCACTTAAACTTTTAATTTTTTCAAAATCATATTTAAAATTTAGTTTTCATTTTATTACCCACCGCTTAAAATATAATACGTTTAGTACCTAAACTTTTAATTTTTAAAAATTTAACGTTAAATTTTTAATATAATATTAAAATAAAATAAAAATTAAACTTTAATTATGATTATAAAAAAAAAATTGAACGTTTAAATACTAAATGATTAAATATTTTTTCAGGTAGCAGCCATTTTCTAATGCAAAAAGAACTTTCTGCCAGTAATTGATTAATTAGTGACAGTAATATGATTGATTAGACAATGAATTGAGTGAGAAGTCAAAACTGGATCCGACCCAATAGGTAATTAAATTTTGATTTAATAATCTGGGCCCACCATTTATATTTTCAGTTGATATCTATCACATTAAAATATAAAATATAATGAGTGATATTAAATATTATTGATTAAAAATAACAAATGATTTTTTTTATTCAAATATATTTGTCTAATTCAATCGTTATATGGACATATGATTGGTAAACAAAACAGGTCCATTGTTCTACAAAGGATGGTATCATTTCTTCTATCAATACAACCCCAATGCTGCCGTATGGGGCGACATAGTTTGGGGCCATGCGGTATCCAAGGATTTGATCGACTGGCTTCACCTCCCATTAGCCATGGTTGCCGACCAGTGGTACGACAAAAATGGCGTCTGGACCGGTTCCGCCACCGTCCTACATGACGGTAAGATCGTCATGCTTTATACAGGATCCACTATCGAGGGCGTTCAAGTTCAAAACCTAGCTTATCCGGCCAACCAGTCCGACCCACTCCTCGTTCATTGGGTCAAGTACCCTCACAACCCTGTTTTGGTCCCTCCACCGGGTATTGGTCCCGACGATTTCCGTGATCCGACCACCGCCTGGTTAACCTCGGAAGGCAAATGGCGGATTAGCATAGGGTCCAAGATTAATAAAACCGGCATAGCTTTGGTGTATGACACAGAGGACTTCATAAACTATGAGATATTAGATGGGTTACTTCATGCTGTGCCTGGTACTGGAATGTGGGAATGTGTCGATTTCTTCCCCGTTTCGAAAACTGGAAAAAATGGCTCGGGACATGGAGTTAAGCACGTGGTGAAAGCGAGCTTGGATGATAACAGACATGATTACTATGCCATTGGAACTTATAATGATAAGAATGGTACATGGATTCCGGACCGACCCGAAATCGATGTTGGCGTCGGATTAAGGTATGATTATGGGATATTCTATGCTGCCAAGAGTTTCTACGATCCAAACAAGAAGAGAAGAGTGTTGTGGGGTTGGATCGGCGAATCCGATAGCGAAGCTGCCGATGTTAAAAAAGGATGGGCATCGGTTCAGGTAACTTTCTCTGTTTTATTTGATCACAAACATCAATTTAAATCCCGGATTTGTGATGCATTTTTTACTTTAACAGAGTATTCCGAGGATGATTTTGTTCGACGAAAAGACCGGAACTCATCTGCTCCAATGGCCGGTGGAAGAAACAGATAGTTTAAGGCTAAAATGCAAAGAATTTAACCAAGTGACAATCCAGGCAGGATCGGTTATTCCCCTAGATGTTGATTCAGCAACACAGTTGGACATCGAAGCCGAGTTCAAGCTCGATAACGAGGTTCTCGAGAAAGTAATCGCCTCGTCGGACGCATCATTCGACTGCAAAACAAGTGGTGGAGCTGCTGAACGTGGGGCATTGGGACCATTTGGACTATTGGTGCTTGCGGATGAGAGCCGCAGCGAGCAAACTCCCGTTTATTTCTACATTGCCAAAGGACCAGAAGGCAATCTCAACACATTTTTTTGCAGTGATCAATCTCGGTATGTTCGAGCTATTTTCGTATCTTCCATGTCGGTTTTATGATTACTGTAACGATAATTCCATCGTCCCCAGATCATCTAAAGCATCCGATGTCGACAAGCGCATTTACGGGAGCTCGGTTCCAGTTCTCGAAGGCGAAAATTTATCCCTCCGAATATTGGTGAGTTCGCAAAACTCGATTTGGTGGCAGTAAATAAGCATGAACATGTTTGTTTTTTTGGTTTCAGGTGGATCATTCAATAATCGAGAGCTATGGTCAAGGTGGAAGAACAGTGATTACATCTCGGGTTTATCCGATGGAAGCAATCTACGGAGCTGCTAAGGTGGTGTTGTTCAACAACGCAACGGGGATCGATGTAAACGCTTCGGTTAAGATTTGGCAGATGAACTCTGCTTTCATTCAGCCTTATCCATTAATCCACTCTCTTTAACAAATCTATGCAACATTTCGAGAGGAAGACGAAAACCAACAATTGCAACTGCAAACATCGTCGGCCGTTGTCCGGAGCCATCTTTCCGGCTTGTGTATCTTCTTTTTTTTCTCTTATGATATAGAATCCAGTAGTTGCCTCATGTTTTTCATTGGATTTGATCATGTTCGGCAGCCGATTGTATTTGGTTCTATTTCGGATACGAGTACCAGTGATGGTCGAAGTATCTAAATTTTGATCTAATTCGAAGAAAGTAGAATTAATTTACCAGAGTTTCAAATCGCGGTCGCATTTTCTGTCCTTTTAGGTTTACCGCGATTGTGGCCGTCGCAGGCGCTATTGCGAGTGTAGCGGGTGACTCGAACGGAGGTGAAACTACTATTTCGCGGATGAAATTATGTTTTCGGACCGTAATTTGAAACCCTGATTATTACTATAATCATTTTATATATATCTAAGAATAATTATAAGACGGTTACAAACATAATCTTGCAGTTCTTTAATTTATCAAACTCCAAGAATCATTAAGATTTGTTTATGGGTTTAATAATTAGATTAAGTTCGAAATACATTATAATAATAAATAATTTTTTAAAATAATCTGAGATAATTACAATATAATATATGTTAATATTTTTTAATTATTAACAATACATATCATATAATATAATACATATCCTATAATACAACTACTTAAATTCAAAACCTCCTAAAGAATATCAATCCTTTTAACTATCAAAGTGGTTACACAAATTCATTATAAATTTGTAAAAGTAGAGAATTAAATGCGGTCGCAAGTGGATCCATGACTATTTGCAACATTAAGCAAAGTTGGTGGTTGTTAGGGTTGAGGAACAAAATCCAGAAAAAAAAATCGATTTAAACTAGATTATTGGATTTGGCTCGGTTTAGGTTTTTTTAATTTGTGGTTTGGTTTCGGTTCGATTTAAAAAAAATAAATATTCAATTCGGTTCGATTTCGGTTTTTCATATGGAAATTATTTGAACAAAATTAAAAAAACATAAAACAAAATAAGTATCCAAAACACATTCATTTTGAATTTATTATGAGATAAATTTAAATAAATAAATATTAAAACTAATAATATTTTTATAAATATTAAATTTATATATTTACACTCGATTTAAGCTTTAAATTTTTTTTGGAGGTTGAGTTTAAAAATAGTGAACAGTAAAAAATTGTCGATTCGAACCGAAAACCATGGTTTTTACCATTCGGTTTCGGTTCTCATTTTCAAAAATAGACCAAAGGCGATTTGTTTATATTTTAATGAAAAAATGAATCGAATCGAATACACTCCTTGTGGTGGTTGAAAAATATAGCAAAATGGCATCAAAGATCTTTGTACTTTTGAAAAACTAATGCGATCATTGTATTATTTTTTTTAATAGGTCACAAATTCAAATTAGCCATTTGGCCAACGTTTTCCGTTGTTTGACATTTACAGTATTGACATGACGGTCCACAGTACTGGTGTGGTAGTCCATCTGACATGTTTAAGCTACTAATTTAATCTATCTATCATGTTATCCGTCAAGTTATCAATCACCGTGGACTGTCATGTCAACACCGTAGACTGTCATATCAACATTGTAAACTGTCATGTCAATACCGAAATGGTAAACGATAAAAATATTGGTAAAAAAACTACATTAGACTTATTTTTCTAAGTTTGAGGTCTGCAATAAAAAAAATAATACGATGACTATATTGATTTTTTTTAAATACATGGACTTTGATGATTTTTTGCCTAATATATTAATTTTAGAGTATACTATATTATTGACCATCTAACTATTTAGCCCTTTTGTTTTTACTACCAACTTTTTAATTTTATCAATCAGACCAATTAACTATTTAATTATCCAATCAAACCATTATCCGTTACCATTTAACGGATGTGGTAACGTGGCAGTTGAAAATTTGATATAATTACACATCTGATCACTATTACTTACATATTCTATTAATTTGATCCTAGTTTTAATAAAATAAAATAAATTTAATCATCAAATTAAATTGAGTCATGTGTCATAATCTAACTGGAGATTAAATTTATTTTAATTTCAATATAATTTCTACCAATCATAAGATAACATGTGTTACCCTATGGTGAAAATAAAATTTAATTCAATATACTTTCCATCAATTATAGGGTGACATGTGTCACCTTAAGGCAAAAAGAAAATTAAACACTGTAAATTTTGTATCATTATAAAAATTAATTATAATAAAAAAAATAATACGATGACTACATTACCTAGTTTAATGTTCACATGGTATCATGTGCCAACCAATCCTTATGGTACGGAAACTTTCTAAACAAGTTCAATAACACATAAGCTTTGTTATTAAACGTTTAATTCTGCATCCACTCCCTGTATGTTTCAAATGTTTACAATTTAGTCTCTCCCTAGTCTTTAGTTCATGAAATTTAATCCCTCTACTCATCTGATTTAAAAATTAAATTCAAATCAATAACATTAATAATAAACTTCTGTTAGATTTGAATATGACAAATTATGATAAATAGAATCCAATTGATAAAAGATAGTCAAGGTTGAGAGGAAATGAAAAAAATGAAAACCAATAAATGTTAAGTATAGTAGTAAAGAATAATACACTTTCTAAAATTTAAGTTTTGAACATAGACTGACAAGCAAATGGACAAAATTTAAAAGATATGAAAGATACACAAGAATGGGCACTACATTATACAGTTAATAAAAGACAAAAAAAATGGCAAAAAGTATAAGAGATCCTTGTATTATTTTTTCTCTCAATGTGACCCTTCAACTCAGAAAATAAACTCAATTTGATCATTTGACCAATTATTTTTGTTGTTGACCGTTACAATACTAGCGTGTTAGTTCACGATGCTGATGTGGTAGTCCTATCCGATCTGAATATATTAATATTTTAAAATAATTAAATAATATATTTTAAACATTATAAAAATAAAAATATTTTAAATCTTAAATATATATATATATATATATATAACAAGGTCAGGTCAGGTTGGTGATTTTTTTCACCTTAAACCTGATCTCATCCCGTCGTGAACCCCAAAATTTCAAAAAAAAAACTACCCTTATAAAATCGAGTCGGATCAAAACCCATCAAGTTCAGGTATTTTGACCATTCCTGTCTTTATGCTCCAAAACCTTCTCTCTCTTCTATTTTTAGTTGTATTAAATGATGCCTAGCGGTGCGACAAATCTAATGCTTTTGAATCATAACAAAAGAGATTTTTTAAATTAAAATAAAAAAAATCCAACTCATAAAGCACAAAATGTTTTGGGCATTTTTACCCAAAAATCACTCTAATATTAAATAAATTCCTCTTAGACACCCTTTAATCAAATATTCTCGATTTAACACACTTTTGAGGGGAGAGAATATAAGACACATTTGGTGAAACCTGCCTATGCTTGGGTGGTCCTAAGGCACGTTTGGTGAGAAACGCCTACGCCGAGTCAACACTTATTCAGCACCTCCACATGGAAGATGCGTTTGGTGGGGCTTTACTAGAATTCTGGAAGGCACATCCCCTAGGGCGCTCCTTTCTCATCTTTATAAAAAATAATTTTTCATACAAACCACACCCAAATGCAGAAAAATCAAACTTCAATTAATTGACTAAGAAATGAAAAAAAAATTGAAAAAAAAGGAAAGGCTAGTTGTAGGGAAAGCGTTTTCCCCTTTTCCAGAGAATATTTGTCATGTTATAATATCACATCCCATCAAATATATAACGTTGATGGGAACAATTCCCCGACTACCGACATATAAAAATCTCAATTCACATAATTGTTTGAGAGACTCATTCTTAGGGAAACGCTTTCCCTTTTTAGCAGAGAGTCTCTGCCATGTCATAATGTCTCATCCCATCAAACATAATTGACGATAATAGTTGCATGACTCTTAATCTCTTAAACTCTTAAATTCTCTAACTCTGAAACTCTGAAAATATCAAACTCTAAAACTTTCAAACTTTCAAATTCTTAAAATGGCTCTTATTTCAGTTGTTGTTTATTATAATGGAGAGAACTAGGAAGATGGATTTGAGGTTAATTTCCGATCAGATCATTATATCCTCATTACCTTCAAGAGAAACATCACTATTGAGGAATTAGTAACAAAAATATCAAGGAAGACTCGTGTTGGAAATACTATAAGATTGTCTAAACTTCATTACAGGTTTATGACTGAAATTTTTCCTTTAATATATATAGCATTCGACCTCTCCAACGATGAAGATGTTGCTATGATGGTTGATACTTCCAATCAAAATTCAAACTTTATTACATAAATATATGTCACATTAATTGACGTTCATGCAGTTTGTGGTATGTCATCATTCTCACACTATGGTTTGCCTCAAACAGTTCATAAAGTTGACAGTCCAACTCAAATAATCTGTAATGATTTTCACATCATAATGGTAAATCCACCTCCTGGTATCATTCCATTAAGTTTAATAGGGAGACATTCATCTGCCAACTTCTTTGACTTCAATATGGAGATGCCTTCCAGTTCCAAGGGGAGACATTCATCTGCTAGCTTCTTCTACCTCAATATGGATACGTCTTCAACGCAAGACTCATTTTATAACCCATATGGCGACATCCCTTCAAGTTCTAGATTAAGGCATTCATCTACAAACTTGTTCGACCTAAACTTCAGAGTTACAAAGGAACCCTCATATCCACCTAAAGAACTACTTTATGAGCCAGGAGCGGATGATACTAGACTGGATTATTCGTTGAACCCAAATCAACGCAATTTAACATGGACTTTGGTGATGGTACGGATGAAGTTCCCATAAATATGTTTCAATACGAACCTCCAGTACATATGTCTGAAGCTGACTATGACGTGATGTACGGGCCAAAATTTTCGAATATGCCTTATGTTGAAGACTATAGAAGGTATTTATCAGTCAACGATGGTGATTCATATCGTGGAATGAAGTTCACATATAAAGATAAAATAATAATGGAAATTAATAATTACAATATTCGTTCAGTTCACTCTAGAGTCGATCGATCTACCACCGAAACATATGTTTGTTATTATGTCGAACGTGATAACGACTGCAACTAGATATTTCTTGTTTCAAAGAGGAACGTGAAGAATGACATATGAGAACTAACAAAATACAACAGTCCTCATACATATTGTACACGAGGGATCAACCAGAACCATCGAAACTTGGACTCCAATGTGATTTGCCAAGCCATCATGCCTATGGTCAAAGCAAGCTCTCACATAGCTACTTCAATGTTGATTTCTGCAATACAATATCAATATGTGTACACCATCTCCTACAAAAAATCATATAAGGCAAAACAAAATACCATTATAAAAATACACGGTGAGTGGGATTCATCTTAGAACGAACTACCCAATTCGTTTAACCTGCTACGAAGACTGAATCTTGGAACAATAGTTGAGTTCAAAACTCGTCATGCCTATGAGAATGATTGAGTGATTCGAGATCGACCAATTCTACCGTGTTTTTGGACTTACCTTCAAAATCATAACGTAAAATTTAGAACCTAAACTTCAAAATCGTAACCACTTAAACTTTTAATTTTTTCAAAATCATATTTAAAATTTAGTTTTCATTTTATTACCCACCGCTTAAAATATAATACGTTTAGTACCTAAACTTTTAATTTTTAAAAATTTATAAAATAAAATAAAAACTAAACTTTAAGTATGATTATAAAAAAAATTTTGAACGTTTAAATACTAAATGATTAAATATTTTTTCAGGTAGCAGCCATTTTCTAATGCAAAAAGAACTTTCTGCCAGTAATTGATTAATTAGTGACAGTAATATGATTGATTAGACAATGAATTGAGAGAGAAGTCAAAACTGGATCCGACCCAATAAGTAATTAAATTTTGATTTAATAATCTGGGCCCACCATTTATATTTTCAGTTGATATCTATCACATTAAAATATAAAATATAATGAGTGATATTAAATATTATTGATTAAAAATAACAAATGATTTTTTTTATTCAAATATATTTGTCTAATTCAATCGTTATATGGACATATGATTGGTAAACAAAACAGGTCCATTGTTCTACAAAGGATGGTATCATTTCTTCTATCAATACAACCCCAATGCTGCCGTATGGGGCGACATAGTTTGGGGCCATGCGGTATCCAAGGATTTGATCAACTGGCTTCACCTCCCATTAGCCATGGTTGCCGACCAGTGGTACGACAAAAATGGCGTCTGGACCGGTTCCGCCACCGTCCTACATGACGGTAAGATCGTCATGCTTTATACAGGATCCACTATCGAGGGCGTTCAAGTTCAAAACCTAGCTTATCCGGCCAACCAGTCCGACCCACTCCTCGTTCATTGGGTCAAGTACCCTCACAACCCTGTTTTGGTCCCTCCACCGGGTATTGGTCCCGACGATTTCCGTGATCCGACCACCGCCTGGTTAACCTCGGAAGGCAAATGGCGGATTAGCATAGGGTCCAAGATTAATAAAACCGGCATAGCTTTGGTGTATGACACAGAGGACTTCATAAACTATGAGATATTAGATGGGTTACTTCATGCTGTGCCTGGTACTGGAATGTGGGAATGTGTCGATTTCTTCCCCGTTTCGAAAACTGGAAAAAATGGCTCGGGACATGGAGTTAAGCACGTGGTGAAAGCGAGCTTGGATGATAACAGACATGATTACTATGCCATTGGAACTTATAATGATAAGAATGGTACATGGATTCCGGACCGACCCGAAATCGATGTTGGCGTCGGATTAAGGTATGATTATGGGATATTCTATGCTGCCAAGAGTTTCTACGATCCAAACAAGAAGAGAAGAGTGTTGTGGGGTTGGATCGGCGAATCCGATAGCGAAGCTGCCGATGTTAAAAAAGGATGGGCATCGGTTCAGGTAACTTTCTCTGTTTTATTTGATCACAAACATCAATTTAAATCCCGGATTTGTGATGCATTTTTTACTTTAACAGAGTATTCCGAGGATGATTTTGTTCGACGAAAAGACCGGAACTCATCTGCTCCAATGGCCGGTGGAAGAAACAGATAGTTTAAGGCTAAAATGCAAAGAATTTAACCAAGTGACAATCCAGGCAGGATTGGTTATTCCCCTAGATGTTGATTCAGCAACACAGTTGGACATCGAAGCCGAGTTCAAGCTCGATAACGAGGTTCTCGAGAAAGTAATCGCCTCGTCGGACGCATCATTCGATTGCAAAACAAGTGGTGGAGCTGCTGAACGTGGGGCATTGGGACCATTTGGACTATTGGTGCTTGCGGATGAGAGCCGCAGCGAGCAAACTCCCGTTTATTTCTACATTGCCAAAGGACCCGAAGGCAATCTCAACACATTCTTTTGCAGTGATCAATCTCGGTATGTTCGAGCTATTTTCGTATCTTCCATGTCGGTTTTATGATTACTGCAACGATAATTCCATCGTCCCCAGATCATCTAAAGCATCCGATGTCGACAAGCGCATTTACGGGAGCTCGGTTCCAGTTCTCGAAGGCGAAAATTTATCCCTCCGAATATTGGTGAGTTCGCAAAACTCGATTTGGTGGCAGTAAATAAGCATGAACATGTTTGTTTTTTTGGTTTCAGGTGGATCATTCAATAATCGAGAGCTATGGTCAAGGTGGAAGAACAGTGATTACATCTCGGGTTTATCCGACGGAAGCAATCTACGGAGCTGCTAAGGTGGTGTTGTTCAACAACGCAACGGGGATCGATGTAAACGCTTCGGTTAAGATTTGGCAGATGAACTCTGCTTTCATTCAGCCTTATCCATTAATCCACTCTCTTTAACAAATCTATGCAACATTTCGAGAGGAAGACGAAAACCAACAATTGCAACTGCAAACATCGTCGGCCGTTGTCCGGAGCCATCTTTCCGGCTCGTGTATCTTCTTTTTTTCTCTTATGATATAGAATCCAGCAGTTACCTCATGTTTTTCATCGGATTTGATCATGTTCGGCAGCCGATTGTATTTGGTTCTGTTTCGGATACAAGTACCAGTGATAGTCGAATTATCTAAATTTTGATCTAATTCGAAGAAAGTAGAATTAATTTACCAGAGTTTCAAATCGCGGTCGCATTTTCTGTCCTTTTAGGTTTACCGCGATTGTGGCCGTCGCAGGCGCTATTGCGGGTGTAGCGGGTGACTCGAACGGAGGTGAAACTACTATTTCGCGGATGAAATTATGTTTTCGGACCGTAATTTGAAACCCTGATTATTACTATAATCATTTTATATATATCTAAGAATAATTATAAGACGGTTACAAACATAATCTTGCAGTTCTTTAATTTATCAAACTCCAAGAATCATTAAGATTTGTTTATGGGTTTAATAATTAGATTAAGTTCGAAATACATTATAATAATAAATAATTTTTTAAAATAATCTGAGATAATTACAATATAATATATGTTAATATTTTTTAATTATTAACAATACATATCATATAATATAATACATATCCTATAATACAACTACTTAAATTCAAAACCTCCTAAAGAATATCAATCCTTTTTAACTATCAAAGTGGTTACACAAATTCATTATAAATTTGTAAAAGTAGAGAATTAAATGCGGTCGCAAGTGGATCCATGACTATTTGCAACATTAAGCAAAGTTGGTGGTTGTTAGGGTTGAGGACAAAATCAAGAAAATAAAAAAATCGACTTAAGCCCTCATTCAGTTGTTTAAATAGGGTAACTATTTGAACCAAACAAAAATATATATTTCTTATCAAAAATTAAAATAAGATTCAAATTATATAAAAATAATTAAATGGAAAATTAAAATTTAAAAACTACCTCTACACCAGCTTTCTAGTCAATGAGTAATAAAATATCTTATAATTCTTGTGGGATATTTCGATGATTTTTTTTATTTGTTAACCACCTATTTAATATAAAAATATACATATATGTCATTCTATAATAATCAAAAATATTATTTAAAAATAAATTTAGTATAGAAATTACATTGATATTAACAAAAAGACAAATGATTGATTCATGATCGGACATAAAAAAAGGCATGTGATACCATACCCATAACTGGAGAAGCATGAGACAGTCACAATAGAAGTTTTACTATATTTTGTGGCCCGTCACATTTCTCTAAACAAAAATGCAACACTGCATAGTCTTAGTGTTTTCATCTTATTGTTATGAATAAAAAACTTCAAATATCTGATCAGTTTCCTAATAAATAAATTATAACCATTAAAAATTTTATCTAATATTTCAAAAATTATTTAAATAAATTCTAACAATTTAAATAATATATGAACGATTTTCTAATATTAATTTTTTTAAAATATATAATTTCATATTCTTAATGTATTAGTAAAATGACTCGAAATATGATTAGTATCTAATCACAACATCCCGCCTTCCAATTTTTTAACTGCAAATAATAAATATCTACTAAATAAATTTACAATTAATATCAAATAAAAAAAAGTAATGAAATAATAATAAATTTATTGAATAAAAAAATAATAACATACCTTAAAAGATTATAAAGTAATAAATAGGAATAAGAAATTTGGGTGTGGTTTGTGTGAAGTGCAAATGGGTTTTATATAGAGGAGGGAAGGGGGAAGAGGCAGAAAACAACGGCGGGAAAGATGAGAAAGGCAAGCTCCAAGAGATGTGCCTTTCGGAATCCCGGTAAAACGCGCCCCACCAAACACACCTTCCACGTGGCGGTGCGATTAGGTGCTGAATCAACGTAGGCAGTTCCTACTAATTACGTTTTAGGACCACATAAACATAAACATGCTTCACCAAACACAACTTTTCTTCTCTCTCCTTGAAAATTGTGTTAGATCAAAAAAAATTTGATGAAAGAATGTCTGACAGGAATTTATTTAATATTAGGCGATTTTTGGATAAAAACTCCATTGTTTTGCTGTCTCTTGCTCAGAGTTTCTATCTTTAGATTACACCCTCTGCTTCCTTCTTCTCCTTTTACTCTTTTGCCTACCAGATAATGTAAAACCCAGCAAAGTTTTTACCTTTTGAACAAAGATTTTTTTCAAGACAAAAAAAAAACCCAAAAAAGGAGAATCTTATTTTTTAGAAACATGGCTTTGAGTAGGTTCTGGGGTTTGTTTCTTCTCCACTTTGCTCTGTTTTCAAGCTTATGTTTTGCTGAGGATCCCTTTGTCACCTATGATTTTGAGGTCTCTTACATCACTGCCTCCCCTTTGGGTGTCCCCCAACAGGTCTCTCCTCTCTTTTCCCTACTGTTTTCAGTAAAAAAAATTCATGTGGTTTTGCTCAAGTTTCTTGGTTGAGAAATGGTTTGCCTTTAAACAGCTTAAAGCTTCATCTTTTAGCTCCAGATCTAACAAAAAAGAGAGAAAATGTTTCTCCTTTTTTACTTGAACTTTGTTTAGTTAAGTGAGGTTTAGGGTAATGTTGGTTATTTGAGGTTTAGGGTAATGTTGGTTATTTGAGGTTTTAGGGTATGTTGTGGATCTATCAGAACTGTATTAATTTTTGCTTTATCGTGTGTTACTTTGTAGATTATTGCCATAAATAACAAGTTTGCAGGCCCCACTATCAATTCTACTACTAACTACATCATCGTCGTCAACGTTCGGAACAAATTGGGCGATAGTTTGCTCATGCATTGGTAGGATCTTACTTTGTTTTTGCAGTCTGTGTGTGTTAGAGTGATGTCAAGATGCAAAGATGGATTGATTGGTTGAATGTTTTGGCATTTTGTTTTAGGTCCGGGATTCAACAGAGGCGTAGTTCGTGGCAAGATGGTCTGCTCGGTACTAATTGTCCGATCCCTCCGAAGTGGAATTGGACTTATCAGTTCCAAGTTAAGGACCAAGTTGGGACAGGGGGGTGACTGAGCCGGCGCAGGCCCCCAAAAATTGTGGGCAAAAAAAAAAGTATATCTACAGTGGCATTTAAAAAAAAATCACTATTGTTGCGATTTTATTGGAAAAACATCACTATAGATGTACCTATTGCGGCGTTTGTCAAAAAAAACACCACTATTATTATCCCGAAATCGAATATATCTAGAAAATAAGGGCCCTTTGTACAAGACCTCCGAAAACCTAGTCACGGCTCTGAGTTGGGAGTTTCTTCTATTTCCTGTCGCTGCATTTCTAGAGGGCGGCTGACGGCTTTGGTTGCTTTATTATCAACAATAGAGAGATTATTCCTATTCCTTATGACACCCCTGTTGGGGATATTACCATTTTGATCGTGTGATTGGTACACACGGAATCATACAGTTCGTATAATGTTATCATCGTATATATGTGTTTGATTTAAGATTTGGGGGTGTAGGATATAATGTTGATGTGTCTAATGAGGATATCTTTTGGATTGTAGGCTTTGAGAAAGGCGCTTGATACTGGAAATGATCTAAGGGATGCCGGATGGTGTTCTTATTAATGGCAAAGGACCTTATCGATATAATGATTCTCTTGTACCTGATGGGATCGATTATGAAACGATTAACGTCCAACCAGGTGATTGTCTCATGCAAGGCATTGTTTACTTATGGCTGCTACTCATTTCTAAATATGTTAGTTCCATTGCTTGTTTTAGAGACTAAAATGGAGTGTTGATACTTATTATTTGGTGGCAAGTTAAAGATACATTGACCCTCAAATTTTACACATTGGCAGGGAAAACTCATCGCCTTTGAGTTCACAATGTGGGAATATCGACCTCCTTGAATTTCAGGATTCAGAGCCATAATTTACTTCTTGCGGGGACTGAGGGATCATATAAGGTGCAACTGAACTACACTAGCTTAGACATACATGTAGGACAGTCTTATTTATTTCTGCTTACGTCTTATTCGTTTCTGCTTACCACGGATCAGAATGCTAGTAGCGATTGCTACACCGTTGCAAGTGCGAGGTTTGTGAATGAATCACAGTGGAAAGGAGTTACAGGTGTTGCCATTTTTGCGTTAATCTAATTCGAATGGAAAGGCAGCTGGTCTCCTCCCCGACCCACCGCAGGATGAATGCGACAAAACCTTTTCAATGAACTAAGCTAGATCTATCAGGTTGGTATCTTGTTAAAAGCGAATTATCTTTATTCTTTACTTGGTTATGTATTCTTACTTTGTGTGCTTAAATTATGCAGATGGAATTTATCCGCCAGTTGTGCTCGCCCGAACCCACGGGGATCGTTTAGATACGGTTCAATCAATGTGACTGAAATTTATGTTTTGAGAAACAAGCCACCAGAGACTATCGACGGGAAAAGACGAGCAACACCCAGCGGGATATCCTTTGTCAATCCTGCTACACCGATCCGGCTTGCAGACCAGTTTAAGCTTAAGGGAATATATAAGCTAGACATTCCCAATAGACCACTTACAGGATCACCTAAAATCAAGCTAGACTTTCCCAATAGACCAATTACAGGGTCACCTAAAATCGGAACATCCATTATTAACGAACATATAGGGGATTTTAGGAAGGCATCCTACAGAACAATGACACCAAGATGCATACCTATCACATGAGCAGATATGCGTTTTTCGTTGTCGGGTAGGAATCTGTTTTCCCGAACACATCTCCATGTGTTTAACATATCTTTATGCACTATGATTTTCAACACTAACTCATCATTATGTTGTTGCAGAATGGATTACGGTGAGTGGTCGGAGAATAGCAGGGGCACACATCACTATATTTCTAGTAAAGAACACTGTTTAGACTCTGATATGCAAGTTCGGTTTTTTTTTGGGTAGTTTTAATTCCCAGTGTTGTTTACATACGACTATGTTTATCACAGCTTGTGGTGATATTCATGCATTAAGCATCAAACCTTGTTCTGAGATCCCTCGTGTCTCGGTCTTTGTAGGTTTATCCCGGTGCTTGAACCGCAATCTTGATATCGCTCGACAATGTTGGAGTCTGGAACATTAGAACTGAAAATCTCAACTCATGGTATCTTGGTGAGGAAACGTATGCCAGGGTTGTCAACCCCGAAGCTACTAACAAACCGAGTTCCCTATGCCCGACAATGCCCTCTTATGCGGCTCTCAGCAAATTACAAAAGTAAGCAAATCAAGTTCTTCGTATTCTGAAAAAGCTCTCTTCTTCAAGTTAGCTTTAAAAAGAATTGACGATGACAGGTGATGGTTCTACCCGATTTCTTTTTCAGGCCGCAAGATGTATCCTCATTGGATACATCGATCAGATCGAAACTGTGCTTTGCGATGGTGATGATTGCCTCGACACAATTTCTCATTTCCCGCTAGGTACCTTTCTTTTCGTGTGGTTGGTGCTTCACATGTAAGGTTTGTGTTTGTATTAGGTGTGCAATTATAGTATTGTTGATATGAATCTTGGGTTGTTTTGGTCTGATCCGTTGCTATTATTTTCTTGGTCAGTTCTATATCAGTTTGTTTCCACACTTTGCTTTAAGTTCCCTCAGGCATGCATACACTTTAACATACATCTACGTGTTCATTTATGTATACACTCTAACTTACATCTACGTGTTCATGCATGCATGCATACACTCTAACATACATCTACGTGTTCATGTATGAATATACTACATACATCTACGTGTTCATTCTAGAGAGAGAGAGAGAGCATGCTATGACCAATCCATTATGGCTCATGGGCCATTTCACGTGTTAGGCCATGATAGCATAACATAGGGCAAAATTGGCCCAATTTCACGTGTTAGGCCATGATAGCACAATATAGGGCAAAATTGGTCCAATTTCACGTGTTAGGCCATGATAGCACAACATAGGGCAAAATTGGCCCAATATCATAGGCGGACTAATTATTTAGCCCAATACAGCAGTAAGCAAATTATTTAGGGATCTACAACAATTGTTATAGTACATGAAAAATTTGTCACGTCGACGTGATGAATTTTAATAAAAATAATAATTTATTATTCAAGCTTTTCACCCTGATGTAATAAAATTTTAATAAAAATTATATTTTATTAGAACTCGTTACATCGATGTGATGATTTTTCTCTCTACTGTTAGATTTCAAAATAATTTTGAAGATGACCTAATGGGTTAAATTTTACCCGACTAGCTTATTGGATCAATTTTAACCACAACATAAAAAAAAAAGAAATGTCGGATTGATACAACCCATCACCATGTAGGCTAGTAGGGGTAGCAAAACTTTGATTAAACTTGAAAATAGAAAAAAAAAATCAATTTTGAGTAAATAGAATTCAGCTATTAGGTTTTTTGAAATGAGTTATTTGATTATTATTATTATTATTATTATTATTTTAAATCGAAGTTGAATTTTACGTTTATATCCAGGTCGAATAATAACTTGGTAGTCATTTGTCAACTTAAAGAAAATGTGCAAATAGTTCCTTTTCAAAAAAAATTCAGAAAATTTTTTTTATAAAATAAAAATTTAAAAAAGCTTGTAGAAGTAAAAATTCTTTTTAAAGGCATAAAAATATTTTTTAAATGATAAATTCAATATTTTTTTAAAGAAATAAATGATCAAACTAAGTTTATCGTGTTAAAATAATTTTTAAATATAGGTGGTCTCAAATTTGGTATTTTGAAAAGAATAAATTCGGCAATAAGCAAACTTACATACTACAAAGAACGTGTGGTTCTCTTGAGATATCGACCTCCAAAGATTCTTACCAATTTTTACACGTGGTCCTTTATTCCTTGACTCCACATTTTCAATGTGCCCAAAACACATTTCTTAATTTTACCCTATAATTACGTTACAATGTGTATAAATTTATTTGTATTTTTTAATTTTGTCTTAAGCCCTTGAATTTTTCAGAACCCCCCCCCCCCAAATTTTTTTTACACTTAATTAAGCGTATATAGTTTAAAATTTTATTAGTTTAGGCTTGATGTAAAACTAAGTATCCAGACTATAATCAAAGTTAACTTTAGATGCCTAAAGAATTATTCGTTAAAAATAGGTCTCTAACGATTTTAACATTACACTTTAGGTGCATTGATTATAACAATAGTTAAATTTGGCCGTTAAGTGACACATAACACTTTTTTTTTTGAAGTTTTTTATGTTTTATAAAAAAATTAAGAACATTATTAAAAATTTTAGAAAAACCCAAAAATTTTTAAATTAAAAAATAAAAAATAAAAACTAAAATCCTTCATTGCAACCCCATATCACCCGTTAAAGGCTATCATCGCGTGCCTTCACCATCGACGGACCTCCATTGCCGGTCATCCCTCTTGTCATCGTCTCAATCCCTCTAAGTCTATAAATCCCTAATCTCAAAATTATTTGATTATTTTCTTATTTTTGGACAGGGGAATGATGCGGTGGAGGAGATGGGAAGCGGCGGGTAGAGGTTGGTAATAGGGGTTGGAATGAGAAATTTTGGAATTTTGTCTTTTTGTAATTTCAAAAACATTTTGAATTTTTTGTAAGAGTATTTTAGAAAAAATAAAATAGAATGAGAGCGACATGTGTCATTTAACGATTTTTAATGGTTTGTCATGGTATAAGAACCTAAAAGTATAACATTAGAAACGTTAAACGTCTACTTTTACTGGAAGATTCTCTAAACACTTGAAATTAATTTTGAATATAATATGAGCATTGATTTTGTACTAACAAATAAACCGATTTGTGATATGTGGCAGAATTTTTTTTATTAAATATACGGCAGTAATAATTAATAAATAATTTTATTTTAATCTTGAATAATATTAAATCTTCATCATTTTTAATAATTTACATTTAAAAAATGATATATGCTTATAATATTTTTAATTATTAACAATGTATATATACCTTACTGATGCGACTTCTTGAGCTCAATTTTTTTTAAAGAAAACAAGACTCTATTTTACTATTGAAATTTCTTGGTGGTTTAATATTAAATATAAACTCTTATTATCCTTATAAAAATATAATATAATGAATTTAATAAAATATTTGAAATTTTATAAAAATGATGTAATAAGATATATACACACATTTTTATTTATATGAGATAAATATAAAATAATATATATTCAGAGATAATTCTTAATATTTTGATACTAAATGTTCATACTCATTATTTATGGTGTTTGAAGAATCTTAAAAAAATATCAATAATTTATTATTACAAAAATCATTTGCTACATGAAAAGTTGGAAACACACATTTTAACGAGTAGATGCTATTTTATACGGTCTGACCCTCTTTCGGACACCGTCCAAAAACGATATTTGTCTACAATCAGACGAACTCCAAAAGTCTTGCCTATAAATAAAGCATTTCTCCCTCTCCCGTGTAAACTCAAAATTCTCGTAGAAGAGAAACTCAAAACAGAGGCTTTCTTTGCTTTGCCACGCCCATGCCTGAAAACAAACCCCAATAACGACAACCCATTCCTCAAATTCAGATTTCAACACTACCCATTTAGTTCTTTTTTCGTTCAACCGTAAGAGACCATGAAGAAAATTAGAGGCTTCAAGCTAGTGAAGGTTTTCAAATGGATAATCCGACCCGGGAGTAGAAATTTCGGTGATGGATCATTGGGACATCAGACGACGACAGGAAGCTATAACCCGTTTTCCAAAATCCGCTCTTTCACCCGGTTTCTTCGATGTTGGCTTTGTGATTCGAATTCAGATTCCGGCTATATCCGATTGGGTGAGGAGGGGACGGAGAGTTGGGTACCCAAGGGGCATCTTGCCGTGTACGTGGGCGAATCAGAAAGAGACACGACGAGGGTTGTAGTGCCTGTGATTTACTTAAATCACCCGCTATTTGGAGAGTTATTGAAGGATTCGGAGCGGGTATACGGGTTCGATCAATCGGGTGGGATCGCGTTGCCTTGTGGGATTTCGGAGTTTGAGAAGGTTAAAAAGAGAATCGCCGATTGCCGACGGAGAACACACCGTCGCTGTTAAATGATCTCTTCCACTCGTTGACCAAACTGGATAGATTTCCCGTGAATATTGTAGTAGAACCAAATTGATATAATAAGAGACATTCCTTTCAAAAGATGAAAATTCCTTCTTAATTGTTTCATAGTTTTAATTGCTCAAAACAAAGTTGCAAGCTTGACTCGCTTGGAAAATTTAACAAAACTGACCCAGAATTTCCAACTCGAACTACTTCTATCCATTGGAATTCACACGACAAAGTACAGATTTACTGAAATGGGGCAAAAAGAAATCAGTTAAAAGAGTTTTGTGTCACATTTATCTCATCTGGACGATACCGGCAGAGATGAGCTTTTGAATCTTGCTCATCACCATAGGATTCTTCGTGTGCTCCTGTGCTGCCTTTGGGTTCTCCTGGAAATCATCCAGCACCTGCCCACATCCCAAATATTTCTCAAACACAAATAATTACATATATCCAATTGTATTTGTTTTTTAAAATGTAGCCAAAATTTAAGTTTTTATTTTTATTAGTGCACAGAATCAAAGTTCATGTTCAGTTTTCGTATTTATCCCTAAAATATGTAAACAAAAATGAACCCGAATACAATGAATTTTCAGTCCTTACCTGTCTCATGATTGGATCCGAGAGAATGTTTTGAATTTCTGGATCTTGCATGGCCTTGGCCTGCAACATTACACCGATTTAACATTAGTGTGGTCTCCTAAACAGCTTTTAATGCGTAGGTGTAAAAAACGATAAAAGAAAATTGAAATACTTACCTGTCTTTCCTTCAACTCTTCAGGGCTCAAATCACCTCGACTAGCTTTGTTAATCTGTTCTACACATCTGCAAAATGATTGAGAGAAACAGACAGTTATATGACACTGCTGAAAATACAAACAAGGGACCGCACACCTGAAGCAGAAAGTCACCTACCTTCTAACACCATCAAGCAACTCCTGGTTATTTGGGTCGTGTTTCAACCCTTCCTGGTATGTTTCTAAAGCTTTGTCATACTCCTTCATGAAGAACTGAACAGCTCCCTTTCTTGTGTAACCCTTAGAAAATGATGGATCAAGCTCAATGCACTTCTCAGCATCTTTCAATCCCTCAGGCAGAGCACCCAACTTTGTGTAGCATGCAGCTCTATTGCTGTATGCCTGAAAGTGCCAAAATGCATTTCAACAGTCTGTATGATGCCATTTGGGTGCATTTGTTACCAACAAACTAGCAAAAACAGAATAAGACTTCTCACCTTCGAATCTTTAGGGTTTCTTCTCAATGACTCTGTATAATGCTTCACAGCCTCTGGATACTTCTGCTGCTTGAAACATTCATTCCCTGCGTATAAATATATTCAAGAAGTCAACCGATAAACATGTTAGGGGGACTACTACTTTTGCACACTCCCACATGAATATTAAACGTTGCTTGGACCAAGCTTAAATGAATATGATAGCAAGATGCAGCAACCCAGGAAATACCAGTAGAAAGACACACAAAGCAGAGAAAAGAATTAACAACAATGAAGATACCACCAAATGCAACTCACAAACTGATAATGAATACCTTTCTCACGCTCCTCATCGGCTACCTTAGGATCAAAATATTCTTGCTGCTCTAGTTCTTTCTTGGCCTTTTCAGCATCATTTAGCTTCTTCAATGTGTCTGGATTGCGATGCTCTGTAAGAGCTTTCTGGAAAGTCTCAATAGCCGGTTCATAATCTTTTGAGCCTTTAGCCATCTTCACCAAAGCAGTTCCCTTCCTAGTCAAAGCTTTTGCTATCATTTTATAATCTGCTCTAAGCTCTCTACCTCTTTCAACAGCCTTGTCACAATCCTTAATGCAGTCCTCATACTGCATTCAACAAGGACGCAAAACAAGAAAAGAGATTGAAGTTAGATATACATATAACCTATAGTGAACAAATGGGATAATTGTCTTATTAGGTTCAGTAGAAATAACGGGGGCCAGACCATAATAAATTAATAATGATAGCACTTGAAATCTTTCAAAGCCAAAAAAACATTCAAACCTCTCCTGGCCAGAAAGAAAAAAATGAAGGAAAATCCTTATTCAGAAGGAAGAGCAAGGCCTTTCCTCACCCATCCATCATCACCTCATGTTTCTTTTGAAGAACAAAAACTGTGTTTTGCTCATGTATAGACTCATGCTCAATACCAACATAATTAAGCAGATTTGTACATTCTGCGCACTTAGCAATACATGACAGAATCAGTGGCGGATCCACTAAGGCATGCCCACCCTCAAATCCAAATTTTTTTGGGTAATTACCTATTCTACTGATTGTGTCCACCCTGAAGTTTTATTTGTGCCCACCCCGTACAAAAAAATATGTTGTTAATATACATGAGTGCCCACCCTAGAAAATATTTCTGGATCCGCGACTGAACATATTAAAACCTTCATAAATTCACACTTTATAATCATGCTAAAATACCATTCGAGATGTGATTTTATAAGTTCAACCACTATTAGAGTGCTTGTAAAAACAGGAAATCAGCTTATAGAGCTGAAGAGACCCAAAAGTGAAATTAATCTGTTAAAAAGTAAATATGTAGTCATAATTATTTTAAACTCTGAAGTCTGAAATGATATTAGCATGAATGTAAATCAACCAACAAATCTAAATTTTTATAAAGTTCATACTTCATAGCAGTTATTACAATGAAAGAAGAAATTATTTTAGTTTTTGCAAACCAATATTATATATTCTAAACACTCAGCAATGAATGACAATATACATAATCACGTCATAGTAAATTAATACTCGCTTATAATCATGTTAAGCAACCATTCAAGATGTAATTTTATAACCACTATTACAGTTAGAGCTGTAAATGAGCTGAGTCAAGCTCAAGTATTGCTGAGCTCGACTGAAAAAGTTTAAATCTGAGCTCAACTCGCAAGCAAGCAAGCTTAAACTTGTCAAGCTCGAATCAAACTTGAAATCAGAAATTGAAACTCAACTCAAGCTAAAAGCACTTGAATTCGAAACATTCTCGGACTTAACTTGATTTAAGTTCAAACTAAAGCTTGATTAAAACTCAAACTCAAGCTTGATTAAAACTCGAACTCAAGCTCAAATATGAACTTTAGTACATGAAAACTTTATATTGCATTTTAAAAAGAAAACATATAAATACTATTATTATTAATAATTTAATTTAATATAAAATGTTAATATATTATTTTCCTGGGTTGCAAACCACCTCTTCAGTCATGTATCATGTAACTCGCTTTGGTTCATTAAGAACTCGAGTCTATTCCATTCAAGTTTTAAACGAGTCAAATCAAACTTGAATAACTTGTGATCTGTGTCGTCTCGTTTACGATCTTAGTTACATTGAAAATCATTCCGTTAAAGTAATATATAGTCATTAATCATTTCATAGTTAATCAACCAACAATTTCAACAATTTTATAGAACTCATAGCAATAGGTAAATTTTATAGTAGTAAATAACCATACCTTGCCCATTTCCAAATAAACAGCAGCTCGATTGGTGATATATGAAATATCTTCATCATCAATCTCCATTGCTTTTGTGTAATGTTGAATAGCCGTTTCAAAGTCTTTCTTTTTGTATGCAGCATTTCCAGTCTCCTTTTCCTTTAAAGCTTTCTCCTTCTTCTCCTTCCTCTCCTTCTCTTCGTCCGTGATTTCCATCGGTTCCGGTTCAGGCACAGGCTCCGGCTTCTTCGCCTCCTCCTTAGCAGGCTGCGAAGGCTTCGAAGCTGAAGGAGTACCCCCCTCTGGAACCTCCATGTCATCCTCACCGCCATGTGCAAACTTAACATTCAACAAAACACCCAAAGCTTGCATAACTCTCTGATCTTTCAAATGCTCATTCAATTTGCTAGGATTCCTCTGAATCTCCTGCATCGCTTTAACAAAATCCGGCTGCTGTAAAAATGCCCTAGTAGTCGGATCCGCCGTCAATTTTGCCCACATCTCCGGCCCCTGAAAAGCGTCACCGAATGGGTTCGGCGGCTGCGCTGACCTAGCTCGTGAAGCCGAAGCCGTTGCCGCCGATTGAGCATCAGCCAAGCCGGATTTCAGTGCTTCGTTATTAGGATCGATCTCGAGGCCCTTTTTGTATGCCGAAACAGCTTCTTGGTATTGGTGCAAACCGAGGTGAGCCGCGCCGAGCCTGCTGTAACCTTTGGACCAGTCCGGTTTAAGATCGACGGTTTTCTTGGCGTCGGATAATGCGACATCGTATTGGTGGAGGGAAGCGTAAGCGGCGGAGCGGTTGGAGTAAAGGACGTGGTTGGTCGGAGAAAGGTTTATAGCGTCGGTGAAGTGTTTGACGGCGGTGTTGAAATCGCCGGAAGAAAAGGCGGCGTTGCCTTTCGCTTTTGCTTCATCGGCCATTGTAAAACAAACTTAGAAGCTTTGATTTTTGGTTTTGGGGTTTGGGATTGGATCTAGAGGATAGACGAGATGTCTGCTTTTTCTGGAAGCCTCTTAAGCGTTTTAGAATTGGTTAAATTGCTTGATCGGTACTTGTGCTATACCATAAACCTAATAAATTAATCTTCGAACTATAAACTGAACCATTGTTATTTTTGGGTAAATTATACGTTTAGTATATAATTATTATTATTTTTGTGTTTTGGTATTTAAACTTTATTTTTTCAAAATCACATATAACATTTGTTTTAGGTTTCATATTGGTACTCTATCGTTAAAAAACGATAATGTTGATGTGATAAATGTCGTAATTGTCAAATAAAAATTCATTATTCTAAAAAATAAATAAATTAAATAAAATGTAATATAGAAAAGAATGATCGATCCGCAGGGACTTGGAGCTTCTAACTTTGATTTGCTTTGATATTGAAAAGAAAATAAAGAAAATGGAAAGGGGTTTAAATTCGAGAGGTAAAAATTCAAGAATTAAAAGAAAGTAAATAAAGTAAATTAAAAAAAATAAATGGATTAAAACAGCATCGGACTTCACTTTTCCTCAATTCTCATTGATCATCGAAATATATTTCACTTTGGATATGTGACAGTTACAATTTACAAGGCCTGATCCTTGTAACTTACTCTTCCCTATGGTAAAGCAATATTCCAAAG